CCTTTCGCCATACTCGGACGCCAAATCACTTAGCCAAAGGTGAGTTGGACCAAGCGACACGCCACTCATTGGGTCTAATGAGGGCTTACCACATGGTAATAATTAATCGAATAGAAATTCCCATTAACACCATATATTAAAATACCCTGACAAGTCATGCATCATTCAAATATCCAAACAGGAATATATTTAAAAAATAATATCTCATCATGATAAATAAAAATAAATTTTTGACCCACTTGGCAATAATTTCAAACAAATATATAACAGTATTTATTTTCAATAATTCATAATTTTTTCAAATAACAAGACAACACATAACTATTCACAAACACACTCATCACAACACATTAATAATGGTTACCTTGTGTCTTGAATAACAAGTTCTCCTTCACAACTCCTCTTTCACCACTATCTTTGTCAACACAATCTACATAGTTATTTCATAATACTATATATTAATTTTACATTAAAATAAATAACTCTAATTTAAAGAGTTAGAAAGTCTTAGATCTATAATCCATATTAACACTATTTAAGATTTATGCCTCATTTAACTTCCCAAATTCTTTTCTAAAATTCTCATACCCTAATAAACTATTTTTAAGTTTCAAATCACTTTTAGTATCACAATTTCATCCTTTTGTATTTTAAAAATTCATCTAAAAATAAATTAAAAATTTTAAAATTATCCTGACACCTCAAATCACCTTTCTATAACCTTAAAAATACCTATTCATACTTAAATAAATATTTAATAATTAAAGGTTCATCCCTACATCTCAGATTTAACATAAATTCAACCATATAGATCTAGAGTTTAATTCAAAAATTCTTAAACATGAGTTTCAACCTCAATAAAATATTCTATAATATTTATTATATCCCTAAGAACTTCAACCTATATTTTTAATACATCATATTATCAGATTAACTATCTTATAGAAAATCTAAATTAAAATATTTGCTCTGTTCTACAAAATAATTATATAACTAGAAAGCTAATACTATTTATAAAATAACTATAAAATTAATTTTTTAATTAAATAATTTTTTAAATGTTAATTTAAACAAGAAAGTTGGAGCATACCTGAAGAAAAAGAAAATAATCTCCCCTTGCGAGAACACGCCGAGCAATGTGAGAGGAAGAGAGAAAAATAATATAAAAATAGAATTGTGGGTCCCACAATTATATTAAAAAAACTATAGGTTTGAATTTAATTATTCAAATTATTGGGCCAAAAGTTGTAATTTCCTCTAAATTGCATCTTAGCTCTTCATGCTTCCTAATGCACACACCCCCTTCTTTTTATACATGAAGGCACCTCTTCTTTTCCCTCATCTAACCAATGTGAGATTTAAAAACAACAACCTTCCACCTTTTTTTTTGTTCCTACTACCTTCTCTTATTATTATTATTATTTTTAACACACACATAAAAAAATTATTTATATATTCTAAATCTTAAAATTATATCTTAACTAAATATTGCTTATGTGGTTTTAAATTTAAATTTTTAATTCATAATTAAATACCTAACCATAATATTATTTCTAAATAACCTCAAATAATATAAATTCCTATTATTATCATTTTTTTAATAAAAACTTAAATTTCACAACAATTTTTTTTATCTAAAAAAAATCAGGATGTTACAGGTAGCAGTAGTAATAACAGCAACAATAGTAATGGAAGCAGTTGCAACAGTAGTAGAAGTAGCATCAACAACAGTAACATTAATAGCAGGAGGAGTAATAGTAACCACTGCCACTACCACCAACCCAATTTGTGAATACTAGTTTCTTATTAACGAATAATCAATCCATAAACATCCCGATAGAGACTCTTCAAATTACAAAGCTTATCATAATTTTGATGAGATCTCAAAACCTATTTTTTATTATAAATATTATGTTATGGATGTCCATAACTCATAGTTTTTTTAGGATTCTTTTATCCTTAATATCCTCATGAATGGCATGGAAGGAGTTTCTTAATCTTAATAGCTTATAACTTTCAAAGGTTATATATTACACCATTATATTCCTCATTATATCTTTGTAATATTAGCTTAGGACTTGAATGGTTGGAGGTTTATAAATAGAGGTCATGTCCAAAGTATATATATATTAATGAATAAGAATTCTCCTCCATTATTTTCTCTTCATTTCTTGTATTGTTTTGTCCTTTTCTACTCTTTATATTAACTATTTTTTTATAAAAAAGTAAGTAACGATTTTAACATGCATCCTTTGTATTATTATCAATGTTAATTCGCTCTTTAATTTTTTATTCAAATTTTTCTGTGACTAATTTGAATAGGCTCGTTTGATCTGTGGAGTCAATAATGAGAAAAATCTTTGGGCCCAAAGTCCAATGGAAAGAGAGATAGCCTAAAGCTCAAGAAAGAAATGGCTTGGAACCCATCTTCCCTTGGACTTTTGAACCCATTCATGGAGGGGGGAAAAAAAAGCTCTTTTAACGCTTCACTAGAAATGATTCTTCCAACTCTTCCAATTTTATCATTGCTAACATGGACCTATTTCATCAATAAAAATTAATTCAGTTGATAAAACTTTAACTCAGTCAACAAGATCTTGCGATTAAACCCTATAGCTCATGTAAAGATCTTATTAATAAACAATTTATAAATACATTTATAAGCTCTTCAAGCCTGATAACATGCTTTGTGTTGAACGAAATAAGAAACATATTGAATATGAAAGTCTTAATTTATTTTTCTTTTCACGAGGCAGGTATAAAGGATCAAGTACAATCAATAGATCAATAACTATTGTTATAAGTTAGGGTGTAATTGTCTTTTATTATGCCTTACTGAGAGATTGCAAAGATCATAGGTATCATGGGTTGAAATGTTAAGCCTATCAAATAACAAAGAAGACGATGGCTAAATCTTTTCCAACAATCTCTCCCCAAAGACACATAGGGGATTTGAACCCATAGCCTCACTTTAATATAAATGTAGGATTAAACACAACCATTAAACTAGAAATTATAGTTAATTAATAATTAGTCAGGCGACTCTATCTTTTTTTTGGGGGAAAATTATTACAAAGAACCTAGAGAATACAATATTTGTTAGAGAGGATCTAAAAAAAGGACCAAATAACAAAATATAAATTTTAAAATACTAAATTGCCCCCTAATTAAACCTTATACATTTTTTAACTACATTTCATATGTTGTATTAATAGTTACTAACAAAAACTTATTATTTGAGAGAAAACTATTTCTTTTATATGTATATATATAATATAACACGGGGATGAAAAATAATAAATTAAAACAAAGCGAACCTAATGCCCAGAAACTTGTAGTAAGTTACTAATCTCATCTCCCTTGAAAATTCATAAGTGCAGAGATTGAGGCAAGATGTTTTTTGAAAAATGTAATAATTCTTTAAAAGTACAATTTTTTAAATTATATTGATTTAACTTTTTAAAAGCAAAGATTTTAAAATTATATTGATTCAATTATTTAAAAGCAAAGGTTTTTTAAAATTGCATTGATTTAATTGAATTTAATACTACTTTTATTTTAGTGTGTGGAATTAAAAACTGCACAACCTAATTTTGAAAAGAGTGCTTTTGTAACTTATTTTGAGGTATTATTGACAGATTTTATATTAGGGTTATATTCCTTCTATTAAAAAATATAAGTTATTTTTAATAGAATCTTATCCTCAATAAAGTATTTATCTACTTTCAAACTAACCCTATTTTTATATATTTTTTTTATTAAATACCCTATAATAAATATAAAGTCATTATCAATAGGGACATTTTTGAAAAAAAGACAATAATTACATCTCGAAAAACTAAAAATACTTTATATTTTTAAACATCTAACTCCTTAAAAAATACCTTATATTTTTGAACCTCAAAGTATCAATTAATTACATTTACCTTAGTCCTTCATCCTAATTTTTCTTTTTATAGTCTTTTATAATAAATTTCAACAGTATTAGATCCCTCTCTTGAATTTTTTTTGAGTAAAATAAATGGACCACCCTTCTATTATGTCTTAAATACACAGATCCATTTTGAAAACTCATGTGAACTTCCCTTGAAATTAAATATATGTTACATAAGCCTTCCTTTTATATTTAAAATTTTATTTTCATCCATCCAATTGTTAGTTGATTGTTAAGTTTGACTTTTAAACTTTTAATTTAACTAAAATGCCCTTCTTTAACATAAAAATTATCTAAAAATCTATATTCTTAAAAGATATTTTTTTGTGTGCTATAGAAAATATAATAAATACATTTTCAAATTTTTATTATGTTATAAAATTTATTAATTTTTATCATATTATAAAATATTATGATTTTAATTTTTATCAAATTTTTGAAACTTAGTTTTGTTCATCTCAAAACATAAAATGATATAAGTTCAAGAGATTTTATAAATAATTTAAATTTACAATTTGTAAATATGTTTTTTACAATAAAATAATGTAACTGAAAATAATATAATTTAGGATTTATTGTGGTGAGGGATGAATTTATTGAATAAAATTTTTTAATACAAATTTTAATTTAAAAATATGTTTTTATAATTTTTTAAAATATTTCTAATAAAATTAACGGATTAAACTAAATTGTATGTTTTCAGTATGGAAGGAATGTCTATGCAATTAAAATAAAGTAAAATGTCAGAGTATTTTTACTCTCTGTCTCTTGGCTACCTAACTATAATTCTTTAAACATTCTTGAGAAATCATCAATGTCATAAGTAAGGATGTTAAAATTTTATAACCCAACTTGTCCCTTTTTAAAATGAAACTCATTCAAATTCTTTCGTTCCTTCCATTCCCAAACCAATTTGGAACCGTGCTTCGATGCAAGGAAGGGAAGAATACAGAAATTTGAAGGGCGTTATGGTCGAATAATCAGAAAGAAGAAAGGTGAGTAAGGGATTGGGCTGCAGACTCATTCTCTAGCCTATTGGGCTTAAGGCCCAACTAATACCGAGAAACTTGAAGAAGGCCAGCCATGGTGAAACGAGCTGCGTCGCAGGTGATGGAATGCGCGGCGAAGGGGAGGGGAACTCCGTGCAGCGGCCCCGCCACGAGACGCTGTGCTCGCTGTGAAGCTGTTTCTTATTGCTCTGTCGCTCATCAGGTTCTTCTCTTATATGTCTCCTTCTCTTCACTTGATTGTGCTTCCTATACACATTTTTTATCCAATAAGCTTCTCGGTTTCGAATTCCTTGCTTCTTGATTTCCTGACGATGGTTTTTTTTTTTTTTTTTTGGGTGGGGGGGGGTCATACGAAAATGAATTGGAATTGGAATTTGGGTTAGGTCTGTAATGTGCTTCATGACCTAGTAGCAATGAATTTTTTGAGTTTAAAGCCTCCATTTCATCTTCGTCTTGTATTGGTTATGTTCATTCTCAATTGTCATATGAGATTGTATGGATGATATTGTGAGAAGATGTCCTCTGCACTACGAGAAACATAAAAAATGGACCTGTGTGACCATTTCTGATATAATGATACTCAGAATTTATTTTATGCCGGATGCTACTTTCAGATATATTCTAGTTAAATATTGATATTCTACTTCTACATTAAATACACATAATTTTTTTCTCAACATTTTGCATAGGTAGCACACTGGGTTCATCATAAACAAGAGTGTGAACGGTTGGAAAAACAGAGGAGGAATGCGGATGTATTGAATGAATTTCCTTTCACATTCTCTCGAGAAGCTACATTTCAGGTGATTGGTGATCTGCTTGTGGGTGATATTGATCTGCATCTTTTTAATGTGTGTGTGTGTGTTGTTCCATATGTTTGTTTATATATCTTGTTTACTTAATGCTCTTGTTATTCCAGATTTGTGAAAAGCAGGAGACTAGGTGTTCATTCTTGGTCAAGAGGCATCTTCATCGAGTTGGAATGTGGATGCATGAATGCCACTGTTTGGCGTCGTGTGCTTCCTTTGATCAGTTGGGGTTTTCTCTTACGTTCATATTCTGCAACTTAAATAAATCCTTTTATTTTATGTTTGAGCATTGAAATTCAGTTTAAGATAAATAATAACAAAAAAAATATGCTTCACTTTTTGTAATCTTCAGATAACCTTTTCCCATTAGTCTACTAGTTTTAGATCAATGTTCATTGTTGGAAAAATAAATTTATGCAGATTAAACAAAGGCTGGAATCTCCCAAGTTATTTATGCCCATGTTCTGGTAATTTTATGCTCCAAACTTTTTCGTCTTCTCCTCCTGATCCTCCTTTAGATGTAGAGTAAATTTAACATATGAATGACCAGGGCCTGAATCTCCTATATCAGAGGAGTTGCATAGTTGGGGAGACTACTATAAGTGGAGGTGCATTCCGCTAGACTCACCTGTTGCTTTACTTCTTCACTGGGTATGAGAATCTCATGAGCTCTAGCAATTGCTTTATCTTCATTTACTTTCAATGGCTTTTATAAACATGTCTTACTAGCTGCTATGTTTTCTAAATGAAGTCACTATTCATGGCCATTTTTTTTTTTTGTCCGCAAGATTTCTTTTCTTGTTGACATAAGTCTGTTTATGTAGTCTAGGAAGGGGGTTTGTATTAAGTCTGTTTACGTAGTCTAAGAAGGGGGTTTGTATTAGACAAAATTTTGATATTTTAAAGTTGGAACAAGGGGGGTGAAAATTCGTTTACTTTCATTTACTTGGATCAAAAGGAAACGTCCAGTAAAGGTTCTTCATATGATAGTACATATAGTTTACACGTTTGAACTGGTATTATTCTGATAATTATTTATCTATTTATTTTCTGGTGTTTTCTGTTTCAGCCACTTACAGTATATCATGCTTTGCAACTAGTTGGAATCACGATCTTGAATCCTGAAATTAGTGATAAGCTATACATACATTACCTTGGTAAACTATCACTTTCAAATTCTCTTTCAAGTGTTATAATTTGATTCGGATGCCTTTTTCCAAAGAATTCCTTCTTATGCTCTCTGTGAATTTTAAAATGTTCTCTGTTCCCTCGTTTTTATTGGCTGTGTCGTTTCAGCGGCAGTGAAACGTTCATCGTCGTTTAAAAAACTCTTTGCATCTGCATCTCCCTTTTACATTAGTAATTTGCATGATCCCTCAGCATTTGACTTCTATCTCATTACTTGTCTCTAAAAGGACCTGAGAAAGAGCTTCTACAACTTGCCGTATTTGGGGAGTTACAGGCACTCTTCCCTGGTGTGCGTGTTCATATAGAACTTGTTGGGCCTGCAATTCCTGTAGACAGGTCTATTGGAGTTCTTGTGATTCATGTTCTGTCCTAATACTGGTTACAAGCTGGTCTAAATGCATATCTTTCTTGTTTGCCAGTAAACAGGGATGGAGAGAAGATCAGTATTTCTCATTATGCTCTCTGTGATAATGATGAGTGTTCTTGCAAGTTATCAGGTGATGATGTGATTTTAAAAACACAAACTGATACCACTTCGGCAGTGTCACTGCAGCTTTGGCAAGGATTCTATCATGACCGTTATAGTGATATTGTTAAGGTATCTAATCTTCTAGGAAAAATTAATCATCTGGTCCTTTGACTCAATAAAAACTTGGTTCCTGAATTTTGATTTGGTGCATTCCAATCTTTACATTTTTGACTTAGTTCCTAAACTTTGACTTTCAAAACTTAGTTCCTATAGTTTTATCTATTTAAAATGCTGGTCCCTAAATTTTAAAAAATAAAATTATAAAGGATGAAGTTATTATTAAGTTTAGGGACTACTGTTTTAAATGGCTAAAACTATAGATACTAGATTGCAATGAGTTAACATTTGGTGACTAAGTTACAATTGAGTCAATTTATAAGGATTGAGTTGCCTCGAGTTAAAATTTAAAGACTGAATTACAATGGAATCAAAAGTATAGAAATTAAATGATTAATTTTCCCAATCTTTTAATTGCCAATATTCATATTATCATTGTTTGCAGTTGACTTTAAATGTCTGATTATTCAATTAAGCTATTTTCTCTTAAATTTTGTTCCCCTAACAGGATAAGGATTCCTCTCCGCATCTAGTCATAGCTCCAAATGCTGGCATTGCAGCTTATACTACTTGGTTACCTAGCATTGTACGCCTACCACCTTATGCTTCTCTTTTATGTTTCGGTGTTGCTTTCAATTTATGAACTATTTTTTTTTAATAGTAATAAACAGATTATAAACTGGGCAATTTTGCCTTTATTTTCATTATTTTTATTCTGTTCTCTTGATGAATATTTCAGGAGCTAATGAAAAAGATGAACATCCCGGTTGTTTTCACAGACTATTGCGAGGAAGCTTGCCATCTTGCAGCACGTTGCATTGAGTCTGTAACTGGCCGCTCTCTTGGTTTACCTGTAAGCATCTTATCTCTATTCATTGTTTTGCAAGTTGTATTTATTTTGAGAGATTCTTCAGTAGAGAGTTGATTCATAATTATCTAGATTTTCACATTTCTTACCGTTTAACAGATATCAACAAAAGCATTGAACTGTTATGTCGTGTAGGTTCAATTAAATCCATTCAGGCAGCCTATAGTGGTAGAAGATAGTGCACTGTTGCTTCCTTGCTACTCAAATTGCTTTCTTTTTGGGATGTAATTAACTTACAAAAAGTTGATATCTCAAACTTATAATAAATGAGTGTATAACTATGTTACTTGCATGTAAACCAGATTTGTGAGAATGGATTAGATTCCCTTTTACTGAGATTTTGAACTGAATCTGCAGAAATGTCATATGAGTTACTTGTGAAGAGTGAGAACACTATTCCAATCTTTCACTGTCATCTACGCCCAGACTGAGTTTTGCGTTTGTTTTTTTTTTTGGGGGCCAAACAGGCAGTTTTAATTGTCTTACAATCCATATCAGGAAATTAGTGTTTTAATGGGTTAGTGATCTGACTCTGCAATGAGAAAACTTGTAGAACACTTACATTGCTCCCTCCAATCCAGAATTATTGTCATTATAGAGCTGTACACACATTAAACAAATCTAATAAATAGAATAAAATGTAATGCTATTTTCCTAGAATACCCTTATTTATTATAAACAACGCTTCATCATTAATAGACACTTCACATTTATCAAAAAGTAAAATTTTTATTTTATTGTGTACGTCAATAATATGCAGAGATTATAACTATCAGTTATAATGTACCAATTCCCATTGTATTTTGTACACTTAAAAGATATCAATTAGACCTATACAGTTGGCTTAATACTTTTTTTAATTTTATTTATAAATCATTTTTAACATATTTCATTGGAATCAAGAAAAATTTTAAATTTAAACCTCATCTAAAAATTTAATAAGTTTTTAATTTTACTTGTATTAAATATACATATTTTAAAAATAAAATATTTTAACATTTAATAACTTTTCTAGCGTTTATTAGGAGCAAAAGAAAAAATATAGATAGAATAGTCATTGGGTGTCCTGTAAATAGGATTAAAACAAAATTCTCTCTCCTCTAATACATTGGACATATCTAAGGAAGATTGGTACAATAGAAATGGGTAAAAATTAAAGAAAGGAAAAATAAAATATTTTACTAAAATAATGAAAAAGAAAAAAGATGACCTCAAGAACAGTTCAAAATAATTGTTCCACCTCATCTTTCTATAACCCAATTTTTAAAGAATGGCATTTTGGGCCTAGGATAGAACTAACTTATAGATGATAAATGATATTTATTAAAATGAATTCAGTGTTTACTTCCACCACTAGAATGTTAAAATATTTAAATAAAATAAAATATTGTGAAACTTAAAATAAAATTCTGGACTAATAAATAGTATACTAACTTATATAATAATTGCATATTTAATGTTAATTAAAGAATCATAACTATAAAAATAACAAGAAAAGAAAGTGAGCAATGCGTAATAGTGCCATTTTGATGCAATGTTGTCTTTAAAGAGTAAACAATGCCTCTGATTTTGAGAAACGAGAATATAATGATAAAAATATACCTGGAGAAGACAACTTTATTGCATTTTATATCTTGATGATAACAAGAAAAAGAAGGGAGGAAAATAGTGAGAAAAAAATTACCAGAGGAAGAAAATAGAACTGACGATTTTCTTTTTACTAGAAATTGCTTGCTTTCTTCTTATCTGATTTTACATTATTGTATTTTTCTGAATGAGTGAAGAGGGAAGACGATAAACTGGAAAAAGTAGAAAGAATGGCAATAGACGATCAGCTCAAGTGAAAAGAGAAAAGGAAGAATGAACTTTAAGAATTTTCTAAGAATATTATTTACAATTAAATATCATGGAAATTTTAAACTTTTTAGATCATACTTCTTTTTTCTTTTAAAATTACTTTTTAGATCATAGTTCTGAGTTAACCTTTTTTAAATATTGATCTTTCATTTTTTCAATATTCATCGTCAACATTTTCAATATTAGTCTTTAGCATTGTCAATGCTCATTTTTTCAATGTTTTACTTGTCATATTTGACATTTCTAATAATCATATTTCGTATTTCTAATATTGAAAACACTTATTTCTAATTATTTTAAATATTGAAATCATACAAAATAAATATTAAAAACTTCTAAGGTGACTATTGAAAAAAAATAAAAAATTGAATACTGAAAAATGATTAACGAAAAAATTTAATTAGAAAAATTTTAATCCCAACTAAAGGTCATGGTCATTTTCTGAAATTTTTATGATTTTATAGTCTTTAATTATAATTAATGTTTTTTAAAAGTCCTTAAATATCAAATTCCCAAAAATTTAAAACAGAAAAAGCAAAGGAATGGCGTCGCCCGGACTCGAACCGGAGACCTTCAGTGTGTTAGACTGACGTGATAACCAACTACACCACGACACCGAGTCAATTGTCAACTCATTCTATTGAAACACAAATCTCTGCTAATTCAAATCACCAAATTGTCACACAAATTGAAAATTAAGGTAAATTATAAGATGCATGATTTTGAAGAGCCCACAGCTCCTCCACCGCCAATATCCCAAGCTTGTTTGACATCAAAATATTGACGAGAACAATTACCAAACTTAGAATTAAAAGCCCCATTTAGTGGACACCTCTGTTGAATCTTCCCTCGCCAATCAACTCTGTTCTCCTTCATTTACAATAAATCACAGAATATGAGCCAAATGGTGGAAGGTAACAACAACAACAAAATTTTTTTCCTAAGGTAGTCTGACTCTTAGAGGAGTGCGGATTTCAAAGAGAGAAGAAGTTGACGGTCTTGGATTGAATACTAGAGAGGAAGGCGATGAGACAGAGGAGATTTTTTTCCCCCTTTTAAATAGAAGGTCATGAAAATCGTGCAGGGAAAAATTAGTTCATTTTAGAATATAAAAAGCTTCTACACACCAAGAGGGGTTCCACAAAAATTATGGTAACAAGATTGAGATTTGATGTTTGACAAGCAAGTTAGTTCTCACATTTGTTTGCTTCTTTGAAAACATAATCGAAAGTATGTCCTTTGACCTTATTTATAAGTTATTTTTAGCATGTTTTATCAGAATTAAAGAAAACCATAAATTTCATTAACCTTATCTTAAAATTTAATAAGTTTATACGTTTACTCCCAATAAATGTTTTTAAATATCATCAGTGGTATTTTTATTTAAGGCATTTAGTAAGGAAAAAAATGTAAAAATAAACATTAAAAATTGACAAGTGTCCTATAAATAGGATTAAATTTTTTCTTTTCTCTTTATCTTATAAATATATAGGAGCAAATTAAAGAAGTATCAATCTAGTTTCTCATAATCAAGCCCCTTATTTTATTGATAATATTTGAGAGTGGATGGTTTTGGGTGAACTTGCACTAAATGAGAGTGAGTGCCTTGATTGAGTCCGAGTGGATACTGACTTTAGTGAGATTGTTATTTCAGAAAAAGGTTTAGGCCTTCTATGACACCCGTGCATTCAACAACAGTGTTGGAATAATAGCCCATTTATTTAGAAAACCCCTTAAATCCAATTACCTTGATAATCAAGAATGAGACCTCCACATGTGTCAAAGCTGTTGGTGTCAACAGAGCTGTCAATGTCTAGTTTGATCCCAACAAATTTTATATCCAAAATTGTAGGCTAGTAACTTTAATGTGCCGGAAGACAGGAAGAGATTCATGAAGAGGAACAGATCTATAAATGAAACATCCCAACAAATTTTCCTAAGTGGAGGTGGTACAGTGAGAAGAAGAAAGTATTGCTTAAGAAAACCAAGAAGAAGAAGTAGGACAGTAAGGGTAGGTGTGGAAGAATGAATTTCTTCCCAAAATCTCTCCATAGGTGGAGAGAAAAATTGAGGAAAAAATATGGTGGATCTTACACTATTTTTTCTCCTACTTTTCTTTTCACATCTAAATATGGAAAAAATAATTTTCTCTCTTATTTTACTTGCTAGTTTTCTTTTCTCTCATATTTGCTTTCTATCCAAAGAGAGTATTAAGGACATGATGATTGTTGACTTGATTATTATTACTTTTCGCAAGCGTTTTTTCTTTTGGGTAAAATTTTGACTAGCAATTTTTAATAAAGAGGAGGATTAAAAAAATTCTTATTCTTGTCAGTATTATTATCATTATATATATAAAAATAGAATAATATGTTACGAATGAATGCCACATGTTCCTTTTTAAGAATGTTACAATTTTATTCTTTGGGATGATGTTCCAGCAATTCTGTGATTCAAATTCAAGTTTAGAATTAGGTTTTAGTTGATTTATTATTTTCATATGTATATAAAAATAAAATAGAGTATTAAGATTTACAGTTAGGCAGATAATTTATCATTTTGTATATATATAAAAAAATTAAATTTTTATTATTTCTTGATAGATTTGTGTTTGGACATCAAATGAAACGACAAAAAGAAAATCCCAAAGGAAATGAGGAAGAAATGTCAAGCCCAATAATTCATCTACTAAGAGAAGGCACGATCCAATTAAAGGCAAACGTTTGTGCTAAGCATGTGCTAAGTTAGGAAGGGAACATAACTTGAAGGACTCGGAATGACTAAGCGTGGAATATTGTTATTTGGACACAGGGCCAATATCCCAACTTGTGCCTTAAATCTCATGAGGTCATTATTCGGATTAAGTAAGTGTTGAGTCGTGCAAGAAATGTGTTCTTTAAGACTTAGAGCAACTGAGCCGAGAAGACTATTACTTGAATTTGCCTTGAATCTTGCTAGACCGTGGCATGTATAGCAAATATTTTGGCACATAGGTTGGGTTCTGGATGTTGCGAGACCAATGGACTTAGACCAAAAATATAAATATAGCTCCAAAGAGGAAAGAAAGCAACAACGAACAACTAACAACTCATTCAAACACTTTGTTACTCAAATTAATTTTACTTTATTCTAAGGATTCAGCTCATATTTCAATCCATTATAGTTCTATAACTTAGTGTCAATAATAAAAATACACTCTTCCAATTTTCCTTGCATCTTTACATTCGAGTGAATTGAGATAAGGGAGTTTGGGAATCCTTTGTTTGTATATTGAGATCTTTGACATGTCTGGTATTATATTGTTAAGAAGCCACAAACAATTTGATTTGGAAAATAAAATTATATATATATATATATATTTAAATTCAAATTAATATCTCTCTATCTAAAAATTTAGAAAAAGATTTTGGGTTTAAAAATTTGAATCACATTTATAATTTCTGAAGATATACTTAATATTATTGAACCTTGACTCAATGGTACCAGGTTCAGCCTCAACTTCGCTACGTAGGAGAGGTTGGAGGATCGAACTTGGGAAGGCTCCCTT